CCAAGTAGCAAAAACAAGGTTAAACAACTTCTATAGAGTACCTAAAAGTCCAAACGACTAATAATACTTCATAATTTTATAGTTATGGAAAATTCTCACGTTTTTATCATTGTACAATAAGTTTGGATGTTTGAAATATAAAAAAATACCTAAGTGTGAAGAAGAAAAATTTTATAACATGAGATTAAATAAATAGGCTTAGTTCAATGATGGTGCTGAGATCGGCTACACAAGTAAATATTTTGCACATGTAAAAAAGAGGGCAGACTTGTAATTGCCTGAAAAACCGTTAGCGAAGTGCTGAAAAACGGCACATTTCTACAGTAAAGAATTACTCAGAATTAAATCGATGATAAAAAGGGTAAGCGCAGGAGGATTAGAGGAAGAAGCAGATTTGTCCATTTAAGACTAAAATAATGAGACTTAATAGGTTTTTATCAGTCTTATATAAGCAAAGGCAAGAATTTAAGCCAATGAATTTTTGGAAGTTGGAACCGGGACAATCAGACAGGGAAAAATGCACAAGGCAATAAAAATAGCAATTAAGTTAAGAAAATTAAGAAATATCACAAAGGCTTAGGGATGAGCCATAATGTAGTTACAAATCACTTCGATATATAGAACTAGCATTTTTGGAGATTTGAATCTATATAACCTAGTTGTAAGCAAGTGGACAGATTAATAGATTGTCAGATAGCATGTTCAAGTACAAATCTATATATCTGGCGAGGCTATAAAATAAGGAAATAGCATAAGGAAATTCTCACATATGTAACAATAAGTTTTACTTTCAGATAATCTCTTAGGTAAAAGAGTACGACTAGATAAATATAGACAAGAGCTGATAACTTCAGAACCAAACCGACATATCGAACCCCATATACATAAACCTATGTGCAGGATGAAGATGGATGCACCTCCATGTCAGGACTATATCTTATCCAAGTGATTAAGCTTAGTCAAAACAGGAGTAGAAGAGACTGGATGAAAATAGCAGATATGATGTAGATGCTAGGGGTAATAAGATATATAGATTTAAAGCAATCATATCTCCTCGAATCCAATCAGTTCTACGGCAGAAATGAGAAAACGACAGGCAGTCGAATCCATGGGGGCCAGTTGGGAGTCACTCATATCGAGTCTGTCCTCAGATGCAGTGATGAGGCAATCGCTAGAAAAAGTCTCCGTAGGCCCGCTAAAGCCCGTGGATAAATTTGCATCAATAGCCAGGCCGGCGGGGCCACTTCCAAGCCCTCCGCCAATCTCTAGACCAGATGTCGAATCAGTCGGTGGGCGACGTTGAAACCGATTGCAGGCAGGTCGTCGGGCATCGCCGCACCAGGGATAGATGCAAGCGGGCCCTGGTCTCAGGCGAAACAGAAAACATCCACCGCGACCGAAGTAGCTACCTGTGCAGGCCATGCTGAACCAGGCGTCGGTGCAGAAAGCGCCTATCAGACTGCGACCGGATACAGAAAGGACGAGTAAAAGAGTCTCGGCCGAGGGTGAGCGCTGGCGAGCACACTCAAATAGTGTTGCAAGACTGACACCGTCACGGTTTGTAGAAAAGATGACACGAGGTCGCGTCAACTGGGCCAACCGATGGTCACGAATACTAGAAAGAAGTAGGGCTAGTTCCTCCTGGGAAGCCAGTTCCGAAGCAAATACTGCAGTCAGATCTGAGTTGGGGGTGGTTACACCAAAGCCTGAACCAGAGACCAAAGGCTGGTAAATTGCGAAGGCTCGGTCACCTGCACCCATAACCGGAGTAACCAGGCCATCGATAGCAGCTCGGTTGGACTCATCCACTGTAATTAAAAGGACGGACAAATAATGTATCCGAGTGATAAAGCAACAATAGAAATGCAAAATGATTTAGGCATATGCCCTCGAGTGTACACACAATGAGTAAATTTCGAAATTGTTAGTAGATCTTTTAAAGCATGGAATACCTAGACGGCGTTGCTTACCTGAGATCATCTGAAAAAATAGAAGCTAAACGAATCTATTGACAAGGTCATATACATAAAGATTTAAAAGACTAAGCAGCGAGGCAAAAGAGTTCGTAGATTAAGAAGCGATTAGGCGTGTGCAAAAGAGGATGAGGGTATAAACCGGGTAATCGAGATGGTGTTGTTTCGCGGACAGGGTACCATGATCGAATCTGCATAGGAGTGCAAAGCTTATTCAAAGTAGGATTGGGCGGTCCTTTGTGTCTGCAGAGCCAAGTCATGTAGAATCATACTTAATAGCATGGCCGTAAGAGGACCTTGCCTTGGTTTCAAAGTTTGATGAGCGCAGCACTGTCCCCAGAGGTCCAACCAATTTTGCTGACACAAGAAGGCTGCTTGCATAGAATGGAAACAAGGAAAAGCGTATAACTGGGACCGTCTATATATGGGGCTGATTCGATAGGGAATACGACGTTGTAACTAGAGCCTCCCGGTTGTAGGAAAGCCAAATTTTAATACTTTCCGTTAAGATAAGACGCTAATTCAAAAGCATTAAATTATGGTGTTGATGTAGGACCCGATGAGCGGGCTGCCAGAAGACGCCGTCATCTCAAGGGTGATAGTCCTAAAGAGAAAATCGGTTCATCTAAATCTTTTTGCCGAATAATTTGTGGGATGGCAAAGTCGGCTTCTGATCGGTGTCGGACAGCTAATCCGGCTTTGGTAATGGGAGCGGAATCTGATAGGTCTAATGATAGGATCAGATACAATGGGCGATAAGTTTATTAGTAGGTAATCAAAGCTCATGAACCAGGATGAGAGGTGTTCATGGGTGTTCATTTTGCGGAAAGAAATGTGAGAGGAAATAGGTCTGGCGTCGGGTAACCAAATTAGCAAGTATAATGAGGAGTTTAGCTGGGTTACACAAGATATTTAGCTACTAACCATGAGCCCAACACAAAACTGAACAGGTAAAGGCCTAGCTTATCCTGTGACTCACTGGCACCCGCAGATAAGCGGTGAAGTTGTAGTATAGAGCCGTGAAACACAATGTATGATTATGAATCCGCGTTGTGGAGGCTGATGAACCTCGTGTCTTCGAATAAGAAAGTTTTTTTAGGAGAAAGTATCAGTGAAGTTTAATTGTACAATTAAAAAACTGGCTTCGATGAACATGCAGAGATAATATTTATGTGGAACTTTAATTTCGCATGAAGGTGAAGAGATTTGCTTATCGATTTCACCAAAAGACGACAGCTGATTCACGTCGTAATGCTTTTAATATGATGTCCAAGTTGACGTGCTTCACAAGACATTCTCTCCTGTTTAGAAAAAAACGGACTTAGTCTTCGCTCGTCGTATGACCAGCAGCATCAAAAGTGGGACTCATTCCTGTAAGTCTCAAATTAAAACAAGTCAATAAGATTGATCAGCTCTGTCATATATATTATATATACCCACAACGAAAAATGTTTCAGATGAAAATGCATATATAACGGTCTGATTAGCTCTCTTATACTCAAGTGTATTTTTGTGTGTGAGTATATATATTAGCAGGCATAATTAAAAAATCCGCCTAATGTCAGTGGAGGAAGGTAGAGTTAGAAATAACTTTGCCTACTGCCTAAGTTAACTCGGGGAAAACAAGAATAGAACATGACCAGCAAAAAGTTTAGTGACCCGAGGAAGAGCATGACCCAGATTGCATTAGTCTGTAACTTTGGTTGCAGTACAACGGGAATCAGCAGTTGTATTCTGACGATATTGACCTACGAGTATCTTAATCATGCACTTTCATACGAAATAGAGGTCTCCATAACAATGTTAGCTCAAGAGATTCATATAAGTCGTATTTTCTCTGTGTACAATGTGAATATCATGGTCAATCCTTTACTCGATAGAATACTTTTTTGATCAAACTCGCGTAGTGTAGACAAATTATCTCTAATCTCAGCTGCATCTCTCAAATGGGATTCTGCTAGAATTGGTCTCGCGATTTTACCCATAAGGCTGAATCTATGACAGTCCAATTCCCTAGTCCGTTGTGCACCAGCATCTCGATAGTTGAAGCTGTTTACTGGGTTTAAGTAGACGCGCGCTGCACAAAAGTTGATACGAAAAGAACCGAAATAAGGGAATGCATTGCATGAATGGGACAGGAAATAGATTATGGGGCTGAAAGATTGGCCACATGATTAAAAATATAGGGAAGAGCAGGAATATAGAGGTAGTTGATACATCAACTAGAAAAATATAATCAACAGAAGACTGAAACAAGGCAAAAGAAGCGAAAAATTTGCGTATCGCATAAGCAAGCTTGGAAGTCAGGAAGTAGAAATATCAGCAAAAAAAAGATTAGTAATGCAATTTAAACAGGAAAAAATGAATAACAGAGAAGAAGCAGTCGATGCAAAATCAGAAATCAAAAGACCTCTGCAACATTTCTAGTACAATGAAGGTGAAGAAATAAGCGGGAGTATAGATAGGCCTGACTCGAAGACCTCTGAAATAGTTGAAAATAAATTTAAAGTTGTGATAATGAAAGGGTAGATATGGGAAAATGGGATAGATGAATGTACTAGGAGAGGAAATATACCACAACTGATAGGCAAAAAGTAAGTCGAGGAATGGGCTTTATTTGTGTCTTTCGTGTTGTAATTTGCTGCAAACACGGGCAAAGCTCACTAACAATACCGACTACGGCGAAGCTTGTTGAAATGTACCAAATCAGACGATGGAAATTAGCACAATAACTAGGACA